CCTGAACTGCCATTAGTATTTCTTTCAGGGCACATCTGTGGTGACAAACTTCCTCAGCTTTTTTTCATCTGGGAAGGTCTTGATTTCTGTCCTTTATTTGATAGTGATACAGGATTCTTGGCTAATATTATCTATCTTTGAACACTTTTTTATTAGCATATTATTGTTGTATTGAGGATACACTGTGACATTTACAAAAGTTCTTACAATATATAATATTTGAATTCTCCCCCTACATCATTCTTATCTTTTACACTTTCATATAGCAGCCCACTCACTACCCCTGGTCTCTGGTTTCTAATGAAAATTTGTGGATAATATCATTGAAGTTCTCTTGTATGTGATGAGCTGTTTCTCTTTCGCTGCTTTCAGGATTCTTTGTCTTCCAATAGTTTGACTGTGATGTATCTTGGTGTGGATTTCTCTGTGTTAATCCTACTTGGACTTTTTTGAGCTTCTGGGATGTTTATAGTCATATCTTTCATCAAATTTGGGGAGTTCCTGGCCACTGTTTCTTTATACAATCTCTCAAATATTCCCCTTTCTTTCCTCTTTTTCCTTTAGACTCATAGTATTTTGCATTGATTTGCTCAATGGTGTCCCATAGATCCCATGGGCTCTGTTTACTTTTCTTCAATCATTTTCTTTCTGTTTCTCAAACTCAATAATTTTAGTTGTTCTATATTGAAATTTGTGGTCTTTCTTTTTCCTGCTCATATTTGCCTTTGAATCCCTTTAGTGAGTCTTTCATTTCCATTATTATACCTTTGGCTCTAGAATTTCTTTTTGTTCTTGTTTTTAGGTTTTCTTTCTCTTTATTTATATTTCCATTTTCATGTGTTGTTTTCTTGACTCTCTCCACATCTCTCTTTAGTTCCTTGAGGGCCTTTAAGGCTACTGCTTTAAAGTCACTGTTTAGTGGAATCACCCTATGGTTATTCTCTGAAACAGTGTGTGTTGGTTTATTTTTTCTCTTTGAATGAGCTACACTTTTCTATTTCTTCATATTAGTTTCTAATTTTAATTATAGTAGTTCTAAGTGACTCGAGTCTCTGTTTCCTCATACATCAGAGAGGAACTGTGACATTTTGTTAATTATATAATATGAGTCACATTATGCAATTTTACATTTCCTAGCAGCCATGGTACAAAAAATAAATGGGTGAAATGATTTTATAGAGAAACTTGATTTATAGCAATCTATTGAAAATATTATAATTTCAACTTGCAATCAAGACTGAAAATTACTTATATTTTACATTTGTTTTCATATTACGTACTTGAAATTTAGGGTGATGACTTTTGGAATCATATGTGTTTACATGGATTGCTCTACTTACCATCAATTCAGACTAACCACATTTCGAATGCTCCACATTGTGACTTCTGCATTGAAGTGCAACCTGGGAATGAAAGGGTCTGAAGGCAAATTACTCCATCCCCGTGCTATTTTACAGAGATACAGAGGGAGGAAGTGACTTGCCCATGGTTATACAACACAGTGGTTTGAATGATGCTCCCTCCACACAAGATATGCCCATGTCATAATTCCTGGAACACATAAATATTATCTGATTTGGGAAAATGGTCTTTGCAGATTAACTGAGCTGGGGATCTTGAGATAAAGAGATCATTTAAATCAAGGGGTGGGTCCCAAGTCTGATGACCAGTGATCTCCCAGTGGAGATCAGACAGAAGAGAAGATAGATCAACTGAGAAGGTGATATAAAGACAACAGAAGATAGAAGTGATGTAGACACAAGCCAAAGTAGCCAGGGAAGGGTGGCTACAAGAAACAAGGAAGGATTCTCCTCCATCAAAGAATAATGTTCTTGGGGACACCTTGATTTAAAATTTTTACCCTCCAGAACTATAAGCAACAAGTTTTCTGTTATTTGTAGTCACTTTGCTCTGTGATAATTTTTTTTTTTTGGCAGCCACAGGAAATGAGTATAGATAGCAAGCATGTAGTCTGGACTGACGAGACCTTGGACTCTATTTATATCCAGAGCTACCTGTCTCCTCATTGCCTTTGAAATATTTTGATGGTACTAGGGTTTGAACTCAGGGCCTTGCATTTGCTATGCAAGCACTCTACCACTTGAACCACAACTCTAGCCTGCTTCTTAAATATTTTAAATGGCGAGCGTATGTTCCTTCATGAACATAGTGGAATAGGTGACCTGGAGTCTATGCAAATCTCTAGGGAGATGCTAATCTTCAGCCTCGTGTGGCACTATGCAGTATTGTCTTCATCCCTCACCTCATGTACTCAAATGACCTCCTCTCTGCTCTCTCTTTTACAACCTATTTCCCCTATGGTTACCTTTGTCTTAAAAAAAAAAAAAAGCCTGGTTGAGTGGCTTAAATGGTAGAGCACCTGCCTAGAAAGTACCACCAGATAAATAAATAAACAAACAAACAAATAAAAATAAGTTGTGTCAGGCCACTTCTCTGCTTCCACCACTTCAATGGCTTCCACGCACTGGAAGCCAAGACCTCACCATATTTCCAAGGCCTTCCTGTCCTCTTAACTGCTGTCACCTCTCTGTCCTTTCCAGGTATAAAGGCCTCCTTGCAGAGGCTTCCTTGCTGTTTCTCCAACGCTGTGAGCATGTTCCTCCTTCAGGTGCCTTGCATTGGCCATTTTCTGTCTGGAACATTCTGTCCCCAGATAGGCTCACCCATTCATTGTATTCAGGCCTTTGCTCAGATGTCTTTAATTCTGAAAGTTCCCCGAAGGCACTGTTACTCTTTGTTTTTTTGCAATGATTTGATTTTCTTTACAGACGGAATCTCCATACTGCCTGGCACAGATTGATTAGGGTATCGCTCATCATCTCCCCCATTAGACTATAAACTCCACGAGGGTAGGGACTTTTGTTTGGTTTACTCATTGGTGTTGGGAAGAGCACATAGTAGGCATGCAGTGAATATTTGTTGAATGAATGAGCAAATGAATGAGTGAGTTCAGGAATGTAGGCCCCATTTAGTCATATTTTTTTTCCTAGAGCATTTAGAATTTGGAATTTTAGGTAAAATTCTACAATGTGTGAATTAAAAAGAAAAAAAGAAAAAGAATTACTGCACTGATGAAAATAAAGGCAGCAGAAGATGCCATAGTTTGAGACCCCCGACCTACAGGGATCTGGGTCCAATGGGAACCTTGTTCCCCATCCTCAGATGGTACAGACCCTCCAGAATCCGAATGTTTTTTTAAGTCCATCAGCCCTTGCATCCCCAGGCCCAGGCGCCATGAGGTACTGTTTGTTGTTACAGACCAAAGTTATCCAGGGCACTTCGTTCAAAAGGCAGGATGTTAGCTGTGTGCTTCCAGCTCATGGGTTCAAAGGAAATCTACTTCAGCAGCAATGTCTCCTGGGATATTTCCCCAGGCCTCCCTGGGGAGATACTGGGGCCTCTTCTAGGACTAAGAATAGACAGGCACATCCAGTTTCCCAAACATGTCAACCTTAAAAGTGAATGCTATTTTTTCCTCGTTACCTTTGAATTACAGTGCAGGGGAAGGACATTCTATTACCGTGGCTGTGACTCTCCACATGCTATCTAATAATGACTTACCACTCAGTAGCTTCCAGGCAAAACTGTCATAGTGGGACCCGATCTCTGCCACTACTGCGGTTCAGCCCTTTGTCATCAGTGTGCTTTGTAGTCAGGACAGTCCAACCACCATTCCACAACAGGGCAACTGTGGGTGTATGTCTTAATCACTCCAAGCTGTAGTGAAATTTACTGTTGTTGTTAGGATAAAGTAAGACAAAAGAAGCCCTTGACGCTAATTATTTTTGAATGATTCCAGGGCATGGGTAGAGGTGACAGGGTGCTGTCCCTTAGGTCTTTCTCCATTCACAGTCCAACCACTCACTTATTCAACCAATATTTATTGGGCTGTTGGCAGGGGGCAGGCACTGAGCTTAATGCCTGGTGGTAGGATGGTAAGCGGCTCTCTGCTGTCACGGCACCTAGATCTGGTGAAGGAGTTCATGGTCTGAATCAGGCCTGCATTCCCAGAGTGCAAGGAGTGATGGAGTGGGCCTTAAATAACACTGAGATTCCCCTCCGTGTAGCTACCTTCGTGCCCTTCAGATTGCATCAAGGAGAGTGTCCCAGTTGGATATTAATGTGTACCATACACCTAACATTTGCTAATCTCTTAATAAATTAAAGAAAGTCTTTATTTCATGCACTGAGGGGGACCGCAGACCTGGGGGAAAGATTTTTAATAATGTAGACAACTCTTGCTATTCAAATTCAGCTCAAACCTGATTGACTTTTTTATTTTAAAATGGTGCACAAATATGATTAGAATTTGTGAAGACATCCCAAACTGTTACAGATCTATTAAATTTCTCTCCCTCCCTTACTAATCCCATTTTACCGTGGAGGAAACGGAGTCTCTTTGTGAAGGAAGTTCTCTTCTAAATGTTCTGACCAGCAAACCCAAGAATCTTCTTTGTGGTGGAGTTTATACATAGATATATATAAAGGCTGCGCCTCCCTACCTCGGCAGAACGTGTGTACGTGTGTGTGGTTCAGTGCGTGGAGCCACAGGCCTTTCCGGATGAGTGACAGTGAAAGCCCATCCTTCCAGGAGACGCGTGCAGAATGACCAATGGGATGGATCAGGGGCGGGTGGGTACCAGTCTCTCTGCAGAGGCCAGGGTGGAATTGGCGGCGCCCCACCCTGCCACCTTCACCCCCTAATCCCTGTAGGTCTTTCCGCTTTCGGAACTCGCGAGGGGTGGACCGAGGTGCTCACCTCCTTAACGCACCCCCAGTCCGAGGACGGGTGGGGGTGGGGGTGGGGGGCGAGGCTCGGGTCTGCCACACGCAAGCTGCGGTCCCCGCGCCGCAGCGCTGCGGCTGAGCACACTTGCCGCGAGGCAAGCGGCCGCAGGGGGTGCCAATATGTAAAGCAGCTGGCGGCGCTGGGCGGGGCCTGGACGCGATGCAAATGAAGGAGGCGGGGCCTCCACGGGGCTCCGCCTCCCTCCCCCGCAGCTGGGGCCAGCGGTGCCAAGCGCAGCTGGACCAGCGGCAGCAGCTGGGCGAGTGACAGCCCAGCTCCGCGCGCGGCGGCCGCCAGAGCCGGCGCAGGGGAAGCGCCCGCGGCCCCGGGTGGCAGCAGCGGCCGGCTCTTCCCGCTCCTTCCGGGCCCGCAGCCCCGCGGTCCCGCGGCCCCGGGGCCGGCACCTCTCGGGCTCCCGCTCCCCTCGCGCAAGATGGCTGACCCGGCTTCGGGGCCGTCGCCGAGCGAGGGCGAGGAGAGCACCGTGCGCTTCGCCCGCAAAGGCGCCCTCCGGCAGAAGAACGTGCACGAGGTGAAGAACCACAAATTCACCGCCCGCTTCTTCAAGCAGCCCACCTTCTGCAGCCACTGCACCGACTTCATCTGGTGAGAGCGCGCCGCGCCTGCAGGGCACCTGCCCGGCCCCGAGGGCAGCGGCGCGCGCGGACCCCTCTCCGCCCCGCCGCGCCCCGCTCCCCGGCGGACAGTCCCGCCAGGTGCCCTGTCCCCCGGCTCCCAGACGGTCCGCCGCAGGGCGCCTCCTGCCCTCTTGGCATCCTGTCGCCCTCAGAGCGCGCCTTGGGCGCCGTTTCGCCACCTGGCTGGGAGCGCGGGGTGCTTGTCCGTCCTCGGCAGGGCAGCGCCTGGGGCGTCTTCTCGCCCGGGCTTCAAGATATCTCTGCCTTCTTCCGGGCTCGGGGCGCCCTCGTCTTTCCGGGGCGGGGGTGAGGGGGAGCAGTTCCCTGGGTGTCCTCTGGTCTTTTTCCCTACGGGCATGGGGCATCCTTTCCTCCCCAGTGCCCCGGAGCAGCACCCTGTGTTATCTCTTACTGCTCCTTCCCGAGGGCCTGGGTCTCCTTTCCATTTCTCAGTCCTCGCTCTCACACCAGTGCGGGACCCCTTCCAACCCCCCTCCTGCACTCCAGGCGTGGGGCATCCTTTCCCCCTTCCCAGTCTCCCAGGGGACACCGCCGCCGCGGGGTCCCTCTCATCCGTCCTCTGAATGCGTCCTGTTATCTAGTCCTGAGGATACTCGGGTTGTCTCTATGGGCAGATCTCCTGCCTGCCTTCCATCCCCACCCGGATGGAAAGCCCACCCCCCCATCCCGCCACCTGGTGGTCGCAGTCTGTTCCCCCTCTGCCGGGGCGGGGCGATGAGAGGTGGGGGTTATAGCTCTAAGCTGCACCTGAGGCAGAGGGGTGATTCCCTGTGGCTGGGCCCCTCTGGCTCACAAGCCTCCTTTTCTTTTGCAGGGGCTTCGGGAAGCAGGGATTCCAGTGTCAAGGTAGGCTCAGGGGATGCCAGGTGGGAAGAATGGGTGAAAAAGACTTTGTAGAAGTGACCGAGTTAGGTGAAGTTAGGTAGTGTTGGTCTGAGTGACCTGCCAGGCTAGGAATCCTTTATCACAGAAGGGTCCTTGTAGGGGCATGTGTGTGGGGCAGTGATGCTCCATCCAGGAAAGATGGGTGGAGCTGGGAGGCCCTAAATGTCAAGGAAGTGCAATTGCTCCTCTCCCCTTCCAGGCCTGGCAGAGCTCAAACAGGCCTCCTGAACCTCTCCTGGGATGACCAGTCCTGCTTCAGGAGGAAGTGTCTTCAGGGACCTTTGCTGGGAGAACCCTTTGGGCCTTATTTCCAGCCCCCTTCCCTGCTCACCAAGGGAGAGCTTCCTCATCTCACGCAGTGGGGTTTTGCCTCTTCTTGCTGCATGGAGGTCTCGGCAGGTGGCTCCCTCTTCTGCAGATGGCACATCCCCTAGAAAAACAACTGTGGTTTCCCTTGGGCCTCCTCCCCTTCTGAAAGAAATGGTTCCAGATGGGGCACCTCTCAGATCCTGCATTAAATTGCCCTTTCTATCTTCTGGGTAGATAGAGGAAGGACTCCAAGAGACTGGTGGTCTGCGTCCTTGCATCTGGCTTGAGACCCTTGACTCTAACCAGGGATGCTTGGTGGCTTCAGCCATCTCTGGGGCTAATATCTAAAAAATGGGTTGCAAATTGGCTTTCAAAAGCCAATTCACCTGAAGATTTGTTTAACCCTTAGGATGTCTTAAGTATTGGATGTCAATGTTTTAGGACTGGGAGATTTCACACACACACACACACACACACACACACACACACATACACACACACACACACACATACACACACACACACACACCCTTAAATTTCCAACTTCAGCTTTGCTGAGAAATGGTCCACTCTCAGGTTTGGAATGGGAAGGGGGCTGTTTTCTTGTAGACAGGGTACACATTCAACATTTTCTCTCAGTACATCCTACCCCCCAGTGGGCTTCACCCACTTCTGGCCTCTGGAAGCATTTGGATTTGCAATATGTAGCCTGGAAAGTGTGTGTGTGTGTGTGTGTGTGTGTGTGTGTGTGTGTGTAGACCAGGTGCCCTTGAGTTTGGTAATGGCACATTTCTGTGGTATGTCTTAGAGGCACTGGGTTTAAGTCTGGTGAAGAAAGCATTTGAGCACTGAAGAGTCTGAGATGTGATTTAACACTCGCTGATGGCATCACTCTCCAGGGAAAAGGGACGGAGATCCCTGCTGGCCCCTAGTGTGGCCTGTGTTCTCTGTGACACAGGATGTCAGAGGACATCCCAAATCCCTTTAGGTAGCAACAACTTAGGCCCTGCTCAAACAGATTGTATTATTTTCTAGAACTTTGACCCCTCAAAGTACCATTGGCGTCTTGGTGCTGGAACGGGTAATTTCTCCTTTGAGGTTGCCTTTCACTTCCATGAATTCGTTTCTGTCTTTGTCTCTTACTGAGGTCAGAAGTGATTTTTAAACATTTTTTTTTTTCTGCTGCTGTCCTGTGCCACTTGCTCTGCTGTAACTGATGGCTGGGAAAGTCACTTTGGAGAGTATATCCATGGTACATTTGATGCAGAGATTCTTTTATTCAAAACCTGAAAAATGCTGGGTGCCAGTGGCTCATGCCTATAATCCTAGTTACTCAGGAGGCAGAGAGCAGGAGGATTGTAGTTCTAAGTCAACCCTGGGCAAATAGTGAACGAGAGACTCTATCTCAGAAATACCCAATACAAAAAAAAAGGGCTGGTGGAGTGACTCAAGGTGTATGTAAGCCCTGAGTTCAAACCCCAATACTGCAGAAAACAAAATAAAACAAAAAAACCTCTGGAAAATGATAGCATTTTCTGATGTAATGAGAAAATAATCAGAATGAAAGTTTGTAATGAAATATGGCCACTTTAAAGATAGGTGTGTCTAATTTTTAGAATTACCCCCTCTTGGTATTTCCTTAGCAGCTGTGAACATCTTGTTGCCCTATGTCACTGGGTTGGAGTGGGAGAAGAGCAGAGGGGGTGGGACAGATGGCAGTCTCTGAAATTGTGATGCTTAGGATGGGGTCCGTCCAGGAAGGAGGAAAGTTGATACTCACCATTAATTCTCCAGCATTAATTCTGGAACAGTAGAGGAGCTTTGTATCTGGTTATTTTGGGGACCTGATATTTCCTCTTAAAATGAATCTACTTAAAATGGAACCAACATTTTAATAGGAAATACATGACAGTTTATTTGGACACCTAAGTCAATAGTCCAGAGCCTAGGTTCTTCCATTTCTTTCAGCTTTCTGCCCTAACACCTCTAGGGAGCAACAGTATCTCATGATCCAAGAAGATGCTGGATTCTCCACTCACCACATTCTTCTCAGCCAGCAGGAAAGGGTAAAGAAGGACAAAGAGCACACGCTTCGTGTCACTTCTCCTATTAGCTTCTATCTTTGCCTACGTCCTGTTAGCTAGAACTTAACCACACATGCAGACAGGGCTATAGGGAACATGTGGAAATGTAATATTTATTTCAGGAGCCATGTATCCAGCTAAGAGCTGGGGAGGGCTGTTTCCATTTCAAAAGTGGAAGCAGAGAAGGAGAAAGTCTCTGCCACCCTTGGGTTGGAGGTGTGTAGGGTAATCACCTGGCCAGGAAACCACTGAGAGCTGTCCCCATGCTCAATTATGCTGTCACAGAAATTGGGGATGTTGGTATGGGTTGGGTGAGGAAAGTCCATAAAGCATGGATTTGCATGTGCTCAGAGAGCTTAAGAATAGATTTTCTTGCTTTTGTACTGCTAGAGGACAAAACCATAGGTTGACTGCTACATAATTTCTCCCTTCTTGTTTCTACTCTCTCTCTATTTTTTTAAATAAAATTGCTTTATGTGAGATGGTTTAAGAATGCCGCTGGTGACAGGGAACAGGGGCTGAGGATCCCCACTGTGAAATTGCCTAAATTCTGGTTCAGAAGTGGGACCCATTACACAAGCAAGGCAGAGCCCTCTCAATCTCCATGGCATTCTTTAGAGAACCCCAGACCTGAATTTGTACTTTAATTGTAATTGAGACAAACCATTGGGTGAAATTCAACAATTACTGTAAGAAGACTGTACAGTTTGGCAAAGAGAAAACTTTTTTTTTTTCTTTTTAAAAAGGAAGTCACTTCAGTAGAAACAGAGAAACAGTAAAATATGGAGATTCAGAACTGGCAGCATGGGGTTGGTGTCAGACAGAACTAAGCTCTAGTCTCTGACCTTGGGCACATCCTCCCTGTGTCGTAGCTGTGGTCCCCTCATGTGTAAAACAAGGATAACAGTATCTACTTTATGGGGTTATGGGGAAGAGTAACATCTACAGCAAGTATCAGTGGCCCTAAGTGAACCAATCATTATTGCTTGATTAGCTGTAGGAAAATGTGTGAAAGTGGGACAGAGTGAATTCTGGAACTCATTAAATGACTATGCCTGTTTCACATGCTTACATGGGTTTAGATATGTTTCTTCATAGACTTTGGGTTACACCAGGGAGTACACAGTTCAGTGTCTGGACCCAGACAGCCAGTCTTCGTTAGCCTCATCTCTTTGTGAGAAAGATCTGAACTCTACACGGACCCTCTAGAAAAACCCCAGGGCACTAAATTTCTGACTATCAAGAGCTAGAATTGATTATAATGAGTGATCAGCCCTTCCCCTTCCTGTGTAGACTCAAAAACATGTTTTTTTTTTAGCCTTCTAATTGAGATTATTAACCCCTCTTTCAAAGCATTGCATGCACTGTTCATTACTGACCCTATAGGATATAAGTTTATTTTGGTGTGTAGTTAACACATGGAGATTAGAATATACGTTTTTACTTTTACAACAAATAAGTGAATCAGGGCTGGGGGTGTGGTCAGTGGTATGTTTGGTTAGCATGTACAAGGCCTTGGGTTTGATCCTAGCCCTGCAAAAATCAAACAAACAAACACCCAAACAACAAAACAAAACCCTCCAAACACATACACACACAGAGAGAAAGAGAGGGAGGGAGAGAGAGAGAGAGAGAGAGAGAGAGAGAGAGAGAGAGAGAGAGAGAGAGAGAGAGAGAGAAGGAAAGAAGACAGACAGAAAGAAAAAAATGAGTCAAAGGTTAATTTTATTGTGGGCATAGTTTTCCCTATGAACTTATGATATGACACTATGCTGTTCAGGTTGAACATCCTCAGTGAAATAAAGAGGGCCATTAAAAAAAAAATCACCAAGCCAGGCTGCAAGTAAGTAGGTAGAGGTTGCTGGCATTGCTCCACTTCCTCCCTTCCCGGAAGCAGATCCCAGAGGCCTGTAGGCCAAACTCCGTTTCCCCTGTGGCTTGTTCTGAGTGTGTCTTGGGAGTTTCAGTGTGTGGGAAAGGCAGAGAGGCCTTTATAACTTTGTGTTTTTTGGTTGGCTCTTTTCTTTCTTCCACCTGAAGTGGGGTTTCAGGCTCAGTGTCCCAACTGAAATAAGAATCTTTGAGTGGGATAATGTTGGATTTAAAAAGGAGGGCTGATTTGTTGGAGAGGCAATAGCAAATTCATTTTGAGCAGTAAAGCCCTCCAGGGAAGTCTGAAGGTTTGTCACGGAGCAACAGAATGTCTTTCTAAGTAAATATGGAAAATGTGACCTTTGGAAATCTAGTTGATATGATATACAGGCTCCTGGAAAGTAGCTAGCTCACACACACACACACACACACACACACACACACACACACACACACACACACACACACACACTATTTCCAATACTAGTAATTTTCCAGGTACTGCCTGGATGCAGATGCGTTATGCCTATGGGATATCTAAGGTCAATAAAGAAAACAATATAAGGGAAAGTAATTGGTCAGGAGATGAACTAAGGATTTGGCAATTTATACACACTTTTGCTGTAGTCTCCTCTCTCTGTCTCTCTCTCCACACACACTTATGTGTATACACACGTGTAAGTAGATTGGTATGTCATAATTTTGAGGATATGCATCTCCTTTTGATACTTTTCAGCTACAGATAGTTAAATAACTTGAGTATGATTTAAAACCCATGGTCTGGTCTTTCGATTCTGCAATCCAGTTACTTCTCAGGTGGGCAGAAGGATCAGCTGGAAAGTTCAGCATGCTGGGACGAAGCCTCCAGAGGTTTAAACCCTTATAATTTTGGCATCTGATATAATATGGATTTTGTGACTTCATTCATACAGTCTCTCCACTGAAACTGTGGTATGCCATAGATAGAATGTTGGCCTTTTTATAGAGAATACATTCACAGTGCTTTTGTATGGCATTTGGAGGTGTGACGGCTGCTTACAAATTTGTGCCTTTTTAACCACATCCATCCACTTTCCCACTCATGCAGCCTTCCCTTTTTAAAAATTTATTTATTTTTTGATGGTGCTGGGGTTTGAACTCAGGGCTTTGTGCTTGCTAGGCAGGTACTCTACCGCTTGAGCCATGCCTTCAGCCCCTATCCTTCCTTCTATCTGTCTATCCATGCATCATCCGTTCATCCATCCACGTAGCCATTCATGCATCCATCCTTCCAAAAAGTATTCACTGGTTAAGTTCTATGTGTTAGAAACAATTTTAGGTGGCAGGAGTGCAATAGTGAATGCCATTAAGAATGTCCCTATTGTCACAGAGCTTACTATATAACATAGATAAGACTTTCTGTATATCATGGTGCCAGGATTTCCTTTCACTTTTTTTTTTTTTGACAGTAGTGAGGTTTGAACTCAGGGCTTCATGCTTGTTAGGTAGACACTCTTACAGCCTGAGCCACTCTGCCAGCCCTCATTTCACTTTTCTTAAGCACTTTGACGGAAGTGTACCAGGTGCTATGTAAATGTGTAACAGGCAACTTATCTATATAATGATTGGAGGTGGAGTCAGGAAATCTTTGGCCTGGAAATAAAAGAAAAAAACAAAAAACAAAAAAAAAAACCAACCAAATTCCAACTTTCCACTTTTTGAGGTAGCTGGATAGAGTTTGATCTGCCAAGGATCAAGAGTAAAAACTGTATCTTGGAAACCGCTGGCATCCTGATAAACATTTGCAAGAGGCTTCTGTTTGTAGTGTTCTATGGAGAAGTCCTGGATCTTGTGCCATGGCTTGAGGGGCAGCACTAGCCTGCTGCCTTAGGATGACTTGTCTCTCAGGGTGACAGACAGGAGACTTCATCTGCTCTTAGTTAATAACTCAGATAATGAGCTGACTTCCTTTGTGTTCATTGGTTGCTGTTGGAGGTGACTATTTTAAAGCAGGAGAATCAGGTAATGTTGGATGGAAGAGCAAGTCTGACAATAAATTGAAAGTAAATTAAAAGAAAGCAAAACATTTCAGAGAGAGGCATTTGTGAGCCCAAAGCCAGTTTTCAGGGGTAGAGGATTCCTGGCATAGAAGCTCAAATACTTCCTCATCCTGGCTCCCCATCTAATATGTTATTCGTTTTTCTTTATATCATCCTTTACTTTAAATAGTGCTTTGTCTTATTTTAGAAGATAATTTTAAAGTAGTTTCACAATAGACAGCATTGACTCACTTATGAAGAAAGATTCTTTGTCAATTTTCTATCTTTGCAATTTTATTAGGGAGAAAGTCTTTAACACCTCCTTAACAAACCTGGACACTCAATAAATAGCCACAGAGTTTTCTTTATTTTTTATTATGAATTAAGAGAAGATTATGA